TTCCTCCGGGGTTTGACCATCTGTACCAACCTTGTATCTGTTGATCATATCACTGCAATACCGGGGCAACCAAGACCAAACCACATGGTCTTCTGGGAGGCTCTGACCTAAACGCTTCTCAAGGCCACTCTTGTTGGCCCGCATGCGACGCTTCAAATCATTGATGCAACTTTCAACTTCACCATTTGCCTTGTGATCTCCTGGAGGAGATTCTTGGGAGATGATTGTGACATCCCCACAACCTGCAATTGCTTCACGCTTCAACGCGCGCATTGCTGGCTCACCATCACTCTTTGAGATGAACTTCTTGTATCCCAACAACTCATAAAATTTCCTCATCTGTTGCAAGCTAGCCTCATTCCGTGCCTTCTTGTTGTCAAGAGCTGTTGCAAACACCATCTTAATCTTGGTCTTCCTGTCGATCATTGCAAGAAACGGTCTATTATCATCCTCCTCCGGGGACATGTAAAAGAAATCATGGTTGACTACTGAAATTGTCTCTTCCTCATGGTCTTGCCTCATGGGGCGTTGTCCCAATCCCCAACCTTCAATGCACTGCGGGCACCAAGCCCTGTAAACCGCGTGACCACTTGCTTCATATTCATCAATGTCTTTCTGGATAGGCTGTCCTGGATCAAAGGCCGGAATGGCCCTACGAGCCTCAATTGGCTCCTCGACAGCCACCAACTCACCTTCCTCCAACGGAGCTAATGCAGGTTCTTGGAGCTCCGTTTCCTCCTCCTCTTGCAAGTCCGCCCATGACACTTTCTTCTTTGGCTTCTCAACTGAGCCAAGTGAACGACTGTCTGACTCAACCTTCGATTGCGAGCCGCTCTCACCGATTCGCAAATACAAGTTATACACGCCACGCTCCTCATACAAGGGGATCTCACCAACACCACCGAACCGACTGTAGGTTTTGCACAACTCTTTGTACAACCGACTTGAGTGATCAATCAATCTGCCACCGCCAGAGCCAAGCCACGTGTCAAAACCCTTCTTGTGAACAGAATTCGCACTCAACAACACTTTATGGACATCAATGACATGCCCAGTGACTCTTCTTTTATGACCACTCTCATCAACACCTGTGATAGTTGTTTTGCCCAAATCATCCAACCTTTCCCCCGATGCGGTCTTGAAAGGCCGGTCACTCTGACCCGAGTCCACGCTCTCCGACTTGTAAACTTTGGGCAATACTGTAATTGCTGCTCCTAGATCATAGTTCAAGCGAAGCCAACCATCACACAAGTCCGAACTCAAGTGATACAAATCTAGGCCACCAGCTTCTGCTTCCTTCTCCGGCTCCTGATTCAAGGCGTTCACACCTCGAGAGTTCCCTTTTGCATCTTTGCCTTTTCCACTTCCCTTGCTCCAACAATCTTTAGCCTTGTGGCCCTCTTTGCCACAGTTGTTGCACCGACCTTGGAAACGTGAGACCTGTGATGAACTCCTCGAGGATGAAGTCTTGCCTTTGCCCTTGAACGAATTGTCCTTTCCTTTGCCCTTTCCTTTTGAGGACTTGCTCCAACAATCTTTTGCCAGATGGTTGGTTTTGCCACACAAGTAGCAAGCCCGCTTCCCATCTCCAGTGCCCTTCCCACCAACCTTGCCTTTGTTACCCTTGGAACTCTTAATCAGAGCCCCGATGTCCTTGATGCCCCTCACGGCATCAATCAATGTTCCAACATCCATAGGAATTGCTTCGCTCGACGATTGACTGAAATTGTTGCTGATGGTCATCTTGGCACCAGTCTTCGCTTCCACAAACACACGAATTTCCTCCTCCATCTGGTCGTATGTCTTGAAGCGAGTGTAGTTCAACTGTAAATGTTGCTCCAGATCTTTCGGAATAAGATTCTCCAAGGCATTCATTGCTAAACTCTCAGGAAGTTCTTCACGTTTCCCGAATTGATCCTTCTTCCGATTGTATCGGGCCCTCAAAGCCCGCCACCTTTCCAGCGCTCCAGCCAAAGTCTCATAGGTTGCTCGGTCCGGCGTAATGAGAGCATTCAGCATCACGCATTTCCTCCCACCTGTCGCCGGATCATATTTTCTATGCAGCAATCTCCAAGCCTCAAGTCCACTATTGCTCGACGTGTTGTCAACAACATCAAAAGGCGTCCCCTCAGTTGTCGACCTCAATGCACTGTACAACTTCGTGTTCATGTCATCAATGTCTTCAATGACATCATTTGGATCTGCATGCTCACCGTAGGTATTGGCCAACAATGCACTGCTTACCTCTACCTCTGATTCTGAAGACTACTGCATAGCTTCCCTAAACTTTTCCCCAAAAACTCCTGCTACATAATCTTCAAGTTTAATACTCCACAGCCTGAAACGAAGCTCTACTTGCTCATCGCCCAGCGTCTGCGGCTTTCCCAAGCCTTTGCTATCAAACAAATTCTTTCTATCTCTGTGTCCCCCGATCGATTCGAGGGCTTTGGGGATCAACTTCAAGACCTCCATGCTCTCGGCCCTCTCTTACCTCAAGGCCTCATTCACAGCAGCGACCTGTCGAACCTCTATCTCCGTCTGTTAAAGCCTCTGAATAAGCACAACGTTGGCATCCCTCATCTGTTGGCTCTCTATCAAACTCCTCTGCAATTGTTCTTGCAATCGAGTTTGTTCCTGCTACAACGATTAAACTGCTTGCATCAATTATTAGACATTCATTCCAGTTACATCTTGTTGTTGGGCCATGTCGGAATCAATAACGACAAAAAGAACAACCCAATTCCCAGTCTCCCAAACAATCGACCGACGAAATGCTCAACCAAGCGACAACCAATGTATTAATTCAATAATCAATATTATTCCAACAAACCCATAATGCACAAACCAATATCCAACATTATCCTAATCAACTGCTCAACACCGACAAGATAAATCACAATTGCAAAACCACCAACTCACCCACCTACGGCCCTTCTAAGTAGATCCTGTTGGATACGACAGCCTTACCTTTAGACAATACCGTGCCCCACCTCGCTACCATACACAAGTAAATTATTAAACCCTCCCCCCGATTTCGCCTCGCCTTTTGGGCCTACATAAGCTAGGGTATTCAATATCTTTACAAATTCCACAAAAATATTCCTATATATTAAATTAAATTTATTAAAAAATTCGCCATTTAATTCTTTAAAAAAAAATATATATCCAAATATTATAAATACAAAATATATTATAATTATCAAAAAATAACTTAATAACATTAATTATATTTTATACAATAATTATTCTATTTAACAATAAAAATAGAATATATATATTTATTTATTTAAATATATTATATTAATATATTGTTAAAGTAATTTCAAAATATTCATTTTTTTAAAGTATCTTTTTGTTAAAATATTATATATTTAAATATATATATATATATTTATATTTTAAATTAATTCAAGTGAATTTGAATCAACCATATTTTCTTTAATCAATAATTCCTGCCCAATATGATCAATAGAATCCCAATATTAAGAGGACAAATGGATATAATATATGTTCTGTCCATCCGTGATATGCATAATGGCAGAATCTGGCCTCCAAAGCTCGTGCCTGGGCAGCACTTTGGATTGAGGTGGCAAGTCACACCAATTTGCAATCAATATGAAACACGTGACCACGTTTCGAAGGTCATGTACATTCCTAGTCACGGAACATCATATTCACAAGTCTCCCATGTTGCCTGGGCAACAATCGCTTGTCACCTTCAATAGAATCTACACCTTTTCATTGAGACATTCAGTTCCTCACCTCCCTATCTACCGTACCGTGGTGCCTGTTGCCGCACTTCCTCTGTGGCGTCGCTCAAGTGCCGACGTTGCACCGCGCGCTCCTCAGAGGCGAGCGCCGGATCATAGGGGTTGCCGTGGGTGGATGCTGGAGGGGAAGGATTTGCCGTTTGGAGGCAGAAAAATTCAGAGACTGAGACTCTCCCCCGTTTTTGCACACCAACGTCAGACCTTTGAAATCTCCAAATCGACTTGTCACACTTCTTGCTATGGGTGATCCTTGCCTTGGCGATCTGGATCATCTCCAAGAGGCGCTCGCCACTTGGGGCCTGGCGGAGGCATATTCAGAGAACAACCAGGCTTCTCGAAAACTTGGTTTTGAGACCCATGTCCCTCAGTCACCTGGATTTGCAGGGGTCTCTTGCTCAAGGCAAGGCAGGCTTGTCTGTTGCGGTAAGGCCAATTCTCAAAGAAATGAAGACACTTGTGCCACCCCATGGTTTCGGGAGACGCCATGTTTAGGCACAAACCCCAAATCCCAAGAACTTGGCACCCAAGAACAAAGGCCAGAACAAATAAAGTAAAACAACAATAATATATGACAAAATATGTAAAAGTCTCCTCCATGAAGATGTTCATCCAGGTAGCAGAAGACAAGCCAAACGTTGAAGTGAAACCAACCAACCCTGCTAAACAAACGAAGAAGGTGGTGGTCCGAGGTTTCTTGTTTGTTGGAATTAGGGAGAACCAGCCGGACCCAAATCCAAGTCTGCAGGTGGTTCAGGTGGGTGGCCGGGTGGCTGATTCATGGGGATATTGATGAAATTCTAGTCACTAGAATTCGAGTACACTCAATCAACTGTTGTGTCCTTCGGAACAATGCACCTTTTCTAAAAAGGCAACGTTTTGGGGCGTTTGAGAAGACTCCATGGACGTTCTACATGCCAATGCACATCAAAAAGAAACGGAAACGCTCAGATTGAACCAATGACCGATCAGCAGAACAGCCCAAATGGCGACCGTTCACGTGCTAAGCCGGCGTTCCGCGTCTTTTTCACCACTTTGACGCCCACGTGCAATGACTCTGTCCAAGTGCAGCCGGGAGTGCGTCAAAACTTCCTAAACTCGATCCCGTCGTGGACGAAACATCAGCTTTCCCTAGCAACGATTCATCACCTCACATGATTTGGGTCACGCCCACTAGTCTCCCTCGTCTCCATTGAGCTTCATCTGCTCGGCAGAAATGCCAAATGCAGCTGCTCAAACAACAACAAATGCCGCGCGGTGCGCTTCGATGGTGCCCTGCAACTGGAGCCGCGCGGTGGGCAGCTCATTGATCCGCCGAGCCAGGGAGCTTCCTGTGGACTGACGGTTTCGAACCAAATCACGGTGCGCAAGAGATGGACAGAACCTTCTTTCCCACACATCAATTGCGTATGATTCTAGTTCTTGACACATGTCCGGGAATCTCGGAGAGCGTGCTTCGAAGCTTTGGGGACCCAAGCCAACTGGCTTCATCCATTTTGGGCGTGTTGTCTTCCTGCACTATGTTGAAAGCGTTGGAAATCCGACCAGTTCAAAGAAACCCAAACAGGGAATTTAAGGGATGGACTATCCTCTCCCCCGAGTTCTTCTTGTGCCCTGCTTGAGGCTCATCCATGTGTGCCAAAGCTGTCCAGTAGTTCAGCGTGGCGTACTTTTGATCTTGCACCAGTGGGTACAAGTGCGTGGGGCGGGGTTCCTTTAGCCTGTAGAAAAGAACAGGGAGCAATCATTACCATCCATCGGTTAAGCTAAGTTTCCCTGAGAATCTAGGAAGCAAATCATTAGTGCGAGCGCTTCTTCAAGGAAGCTTCCCCTGAAGGCGGCGGGGAGCTTCCTTGAAGAAGCGTGAGCTATCCTGCGTCCTGTCGGTAGTAACTACTTGCAGGTAGTAGCTACCTCTTCTACTAGCTACCGACTCCCTAGCTACTTCCTACCTGCCTCTACTTGCGGCCTACCCCCCTCAAAAAGATTTAAAAATTGTTCATGGCTTCTACAATCCGATTCCTGAAGCGTCGGATGACGGACGGAAAAAGCCATCCGAGTCATCCGGCGCCACCGCTCACACGACGGGACGCGGTTGATGTGGACCTGTCATGTGTCAAGCGATGTGGACCCGTTCATTCATCAACATTAGAATTCCCATGCTGAAAGTGTTCACAAGAAGAACCACAAATCACATGATGCACGGTGTGTGCAGAAAGTGTTCAGACGTCTAATTGCTCGAAGATACTTAAAATCTTCTCCACCTCCGCTCTTCGAGACGGATCTGGCTCGATTGCTGCCGCTGCTTTGGCAGCACGTCCAGAAAGCTCTTCCAGTGTTGTTACTTGATTCTTTCGGCACCACAGCGAGAGGATCTTTGTATATTGGCCCAATCCAATTTGTCTCAGCCATTCTGCTAAGCCTGCAAGGTTTCAATGACCAAATCTTGGTGCATCACAATGTCACAATGCCCCAGAATAGAAACTCTGGAAACGCTTTAGGTTTGAACAATACTTGCTATGCCTTCATAGTAGAGCATGTGGAATAACAGCAGGCAGTGCCTGGCACAGTGACATAATCGTTGTAGCCTCCCGAAGGAAAATGTTGTAAATGCAGAGAACATGAACACTTACACACCCCCCAGATATACTAAAACACTGCCCGATCGATGGGACCTGGTAGTTGCAGCACGGCGTCGGATGTCTAAGCATGTATCTTATAACTACTTCCAAAAATGCGTCGAAGCCAATGAGGGGAACGGTTGGGTTCATGGGCCATCAGAATGTACAAGCATACACATTATATAGTAATCATATGTATGAATAGTAGTTAATAATAGTAAAGATAATGTTTTTGTTACTGTTTGAGTGTGTTTCCGCCGTGCCTGCATGGAAATGGTGTTCCGCAAACCGTCTTGCCAGCAGCCCATTGCTTTCCACCGCCATTGCCCCTGGGGCCATGCCAAGCGTCATGTGCGGATGCACGTTGGCGCACAACCCGCGTTCCGTGTTCGCCAGCTGTGCTGGGGCTGCAGCGATGTGGCCATCCTGGCGGCGATCGAAGATGCACAAGATCCAACGAAACCTTCCAACTTGGAACGGAAGACTGTTGGATCCCTTTCAGCAGCGCGGAAAGGCTTGCTTTGAACGTGAAATCATCTGTTGCACCGCTTGCCACTGGCTTGAGCCAGTCTGGTTCCTGCACCGCCTACCTGTAGAAATAGACAGTAGTGATTCACAAGATAATCATGAGGTGAAGAGAAAAGGAAGTACTGAAGAGCCACTCTCACCAATCAAGTACTTGTTTTTCCAAGCGGGTCTAAGCGGTTAGTGTTCTTGAAAGGCACTGGGATGGATAAAAATAGTTTAGGTCACGGCCGCGAATTGCCCGCATTGCGGATTCGTTTTGGAAGATTACAAGTAAGAAGCAACAGTTCTCATCCAGTCATCCACTGTTGCTGCTTGACCCCTTCCACCCATTGCAGTAGCACCCCTTGCGTTTTGACCATTTGAATAAAACCAGGGGTTCATGCGCAGTCTAGATTCCAAAACAAGTGGTTTTCTGTAGACAAGCACTCCTTTTGGCATTGAGAGTGGTTCCACCAGATGCATGCCTAGATCCTCGGGGTCAGGCTGACTGTCCACTCTGGACTCCAAAACAGGTGACTTTTCGTAGAATTGCACTCGTTCTGGTATCGAGTGTGCCCCTTCAAAAAGCAGTCATGAGGGTTGGGGGCCAGGGCTTCATGCCCACTTTAGACTCAAAACAAGTTGCATTTGGTAGAAAAGCACTCTTTCTGGTATCGGGAGTGCCCCTTCAGTAAGAAATCATGGGGGCTGAAGACGAAACCACCTAGATCTACTTCTAGTGCTGCTACTTACTGCTAGTGTGGCGCCGACCGCCAAAGAAAACCACTCGCCCTGCCTGTACTCCTACTGCTGCTCAAACCAAGACTTTGAAACCTCTTGAGAAGAAGGCCATCTGCACTGTCCAAGGCATCACGAAAGCACAAAAGTGACGGGGGAAGAGTTTCAATCCGCAAAGTGCTTAGCCGCAAACCGCCACAAGAATTAGGGATTAGACTTGATGCGATCACATTTTTTGGCTTCCTCCCCCGGCCTCCCAAACGAAGTCGGAAACCTCCACCTGCACCGGCTGCCCCTCATGGCGCCGCAGCCTCCGACGGAGCTCCTGCACTGCGGGGGCGTTGCGCAGCATCGTCGGGTTCGCTCGGGCAATCTCTGCGTCGCTCGCGTTACCCACGAAGAGCAGCGTCACGTGGTACTGCTCCTGGGAAGCAAGAATCCTGTTTGGGAAAGCCTTTGTGGACTTGATTTGGATTGGGACGCGAAACAAAGGAGTGAGTGTATCAGTGTATCCTTTTCTGAAGTTTAGAGACCAATCTGAATTGGTTTTGTCTTGCAGCTGCTGAAATGCCCTAAGTCCGCACCCGGAACAGCCCGAAGCCCAGACACTCTCCATGTGGTGCAGTAAATGCTATGGGTGAACCTTCAGGATCTCATCTTTCCCTGCCGTTCGCTGGTAGAAAACCCAAGTAAATCCTCTCATAAACCGGTGTAAGACAGTGCAAAGCCACATTGTCACATATGTGCAATCCTCCCTTTGATGCGACAATACAAAAGATCACTCCGTCCTTCATTACAATGCCAGACTCTTCAGCGGGCACGAAATCACTGCAACCCCGCCAACGGCTCGAGAGCAGTTCGGCCGACGGGTGATCAAGCGCAATGGACCAATAAATCACTGAATCGGTTTCCCGACCTGGGAAATGAGATGCCATCCCAGGAGAAGGATCTGAGAACAAATGGTGTTGGTGGTCGATTTCTTGCTTGAATGCTCAAATGGTGGAACGGTCTAATTAATGGTAAAGACTTTAGAAGAGAACCTGATAAACATCAGGCTGGGGTCGCTGGGGCAGGGTGGCTTTAAGCCAAGATCAGGGCTCCTGCACAATTGCTCCCTCCGATGTTGCATGCTCGAAACGAACATGATCGACATAGAGAGACACGAGAATACTCAAATCTGGGCCCTTTCCCGATCAGAACTCCCCAAGCCAGGTCTGCACTCGTTTTCAGCTGGTACTAGCAACAAACACCCGCCCATCCAACTCCAAAAAAAATAGGGCTCTGCCCGTCTATATAAAGAAAAATATCTTTGCCACAATTCCAGGTGTCTGCTCCTTGCCTGGACCACCTCTCTGGCTAGAAGAGCTCCCAAAAGCGCTGCAAGTGCGCGAACAGCCATGGTGCAAAGCGCCAATGTTGGTTGAAAAGGAAAATGCAATCGTAGTCAAACGAAAGAAACACACTCTCAAACAAAAGGCTTCTCAAAGGGTAGTGACGTGATTCCGTTTTTGTACTGCTGGTGAGTTTCGACCGTCGAAAGCTGTTGAATTCAGCATTAGAACTACAAGCTCGAGCTCAAACTCAGAGGCAAAGGGGAAGGTGACACTGCCAAGAAGCACATCTATATCGACGGCCTCAAGGTTTTTGATGCAAACCCGGGTGCGGTCGACTCCGTGTGACAAATCCAATCAGGCCTCCTTCGGGCTTTGAACGTCTGCCTGGACGGATACTCTTCTGGGCATGCTCTATGTTGGTTGATGATCAATATCAACAAAAATCATTCTGAGTGTGGTGATAGTCATCTAATTTAGACAGAAGATGACAGAAGAGTGCTGATTGAAATGCGTGGGACCCTCGTTGAGCTCCCCATGGTATTTGTACCCTCATCCTCAGCTTGCTCAGCTTTCGATATTTCTGCCCAGGAGTCAAGCTTTGACTCTCCTCCCTTGAGCCCTGCAAAAGTGCCGGGACGCCGCCTCCCACATGGACACCTCTCCGCCCCTGTCAGCGCGTGGGCCAAACCGAGTGTTTGAGAGAGGTGGAGTGAGATTATACCAACTGATGGAGACCGGATTCTTCAAACAGCGCTCCCGTGACTTGCTCGAGAGCGGGACTAGACAAAGACCCAAGTTGATCTTGGTCTGCCATTTCGCAGTCTGAGCACCCCACAGCACAGGCTGGGGTGCCTGGGGGCTGGCCTTGCTAGAAGCATCCGGTAGCTGAGGTGGATCGGGCAGGTCAACAAAGAGGATTCCCTGAAAAGGGTTCCAGCCGAAATTGATTTTGAGTTACCCAAGAGACAAAAGAGAGCTGCTATTGTTGGTTCCTCACATGGCCCATTCAAGAGTCAGCAAATCTCGATCCGCTTTCCAACTGAATTGCAAGTGACCGGAGCCTTCTCAGCAACGCTCGGGGGTCTTTCGGCTGAAAGTCTGTAACTCTGTTGCTCCATGGGTCAAAGAAAGAAAGAAAGAAAGAAAGGACTTTCTGCAAGTCTTCTTTGAGCCGATCACAGAGCCTTTTTCATTTGAGTCGACATTGGAGTCCCACCCCTTTTCAACTCATCTCAACTCTTGTCAACCGGATTGGTGGTTTGGACTCACTGAAAAGAATATTGGTCAAGCATTAAATGCTTGAAAATAGTATGCGTGCATATTAATATATAATCTGTTAGAGAGAGAGAGAGAAAGAGAGCAAGAAAAGTAAAGTTCGCATGGATTCCAGCACGATTCCAGCACTCCCAGCTTCCAGAGGGGCTCCCCACTCGCCCTGCGGAGACTGGGGACCATGGCCGGCCCTGGCTGGGAGATGTGTAACGAACCAAGTTCGACCAGCTCGTTCCTCTCCTTACACACCAAGTCTTGTGTAGAGTTCGAGTCACTGCTCAAACCAGCATAGATCATGAGAGGTTGCCAAGTTGCCCCTCGCCCGGCAGTGGAGATTTGGCCCCACATCTGCAAACGATCTATTGAGACCAGTTATGATTTACATCCTGCTTGTGACATTCAGACACCCTAGGGCTAGGACCCACCAATCCCCAAGGTCCTCGCCTCCACCTGCCGTAGCCGGTCTGCCAAGCCCACTGTCCGCCACCTTGGCACATCTTGCTTTCCCGGCTTCAAAGGGTCATGGATGGTCGGCCTTTTGATGGCAGTTGGTGTCCAATGCCGACTGCAAAGCTACCCCCAGAATTAGTGGGCCTTGGACGTCTTCGGAGACTCTGACCAGGAAGAGCCATGTATATATATATATATAGAATCTTCCAACCCCTTCCAACAGCCAACACTGTCGCTTCCCACTGCTGCAGCTCCTGTTGCACTTGATCACGCTCGGCACAGGCCGCTTGGCCTCGGGTCTGTTTCTGACGAGCGTCAGCACTAAAGACCACCCAAACAACGACTATCATCCATACTTTCCCTGCTCTGCATCTTCTTTGGCAGGGTTTGCATGTAAAGATTGCTCTTCAAGGCATGGTCACGTACCTGAAAAAAGGCAACAATTACGTGGCGTGACACCCGTAGTGATCATGCGATTTATTTGCATCTGACACTGTTGGAGGGCTGTAGTTGTGTTGGAAGTCATAAATAATGTGCCTGCAATGAAAAAACGGTTGCCCAAAGTCAAATGTTGAAACCACCAGAAATTGCATGATGTTTTTGATTTTCATAGATTTACATCGCTGCCGCTGCCTTAGCACAACTTCCATAGTTGCGCTTAATTTCGTTGATGTGTACACCCTCTATTTTTATCTTGGCGGCCATGAGAAGCCAACTGACCATGAAAAAATCATAAACAGTCTGTACCAGCACAAGGCCCCACAGTTGACCAGCACCTCCACAAATGACCTCTCCACGTGACAGTAATGTCTCAATCATCCTTTGACTGCAACCCCGGAAAACATGCAGAGCTTCGCAGCGCTTTCCGTAGGAGTGAACCCCCACATCGGCATCAAACCTTCGTGCGCGCGTAAATCTGAACATACCATCTTCAACCAAACGCAGTCCACTCCATCGCAGGAGTCTGATCCAACGACGATCCATCCCAGCGTCGCTTCTTCTGCTCTTCCTGACGGAGGCGCTGGGACCTGGTTTCAGCAATCGAGAAAAGGACGAAACATGGGAGAGGTCAGCGTCCATGGCGTGAACAAATTAAATCTTATTGTCTTGTCGGGTAATTCTTGGGAATCGCTTCACCTGTAGTAACAAGAAGTTTTTTAGTAATTCCCCCAATAGCGAAGCTATGGGGTCCCTACTGCAAACAACAATGAGTTGCCCGTGCGCGGCTTCGAGACAGGTTGCTGGTGCTGGGTGCCGGTGCTGGTGCTGGTGCTGTGAGCTGGCTGTGCACGCGGTGGAGAAGTTGCTGGTGCCGGTGCTGGTGGTGCTATGAGCTGGCAGTGCACGTGGTGGAGACAGGTTGCTGGTGCTGGGTGCCGGGTGCCGGTGCTGGTGCTGGTGCTGTGAGCTGGTGGAGACAGGTTGCGGGTGCTGGTGCCGGGTGCCAGGTGCTGGGTGCTGTGATCTGGCTGTGCATGTGGTGGAGACAGGTTGCTGGCGCTGGCGCTGGTGCCGGGTGCCGGCGCTGGTGCTGGTGCTGGGAGCCGGTGCTGGTGCTGGCGGTGTAGCTTGCATATGTGAGGGGGTCTATTTTCGGAGTTTTTTTCTAGGTAGCGAAGCTATGGGGTTCTTACTTCAAATAACAATGAGAGCTGCCTGCGCGCGCTTTCGAGACAGGTTGCGCTGGCGCTGGTGCTGTGAGCTGTGCACGTGGTGGAGACACGGTGCCGGTGCCGGTGCTGGGTGCCGAGTGCCGGCGCCGGTTGAGCTGGCTGTGCACGCGGTGGAGACAGGGTGGCGCTGGGGCTGTGCGCGTGGTGGAGACAGGGTGCCGGGTGCCGGGTGCCGGTGCTGGGCGCTGCCTGTGCGCCTGGTGGAGAGGACTTTGTTTGCCAGATAGTGAGGATTTTGTTCGCCAGATAGTGACAGCTATGGGGTTCTTATTGTTTCAACCGACAACGAGCTGGCTGTGTGCGCTTTCGAGACAGGGGGCGCCGGGCGCAGGTGCTTGCTGTGGTGCTGGTGCTGGGTGCTGTGAGTGGGTGTGCGCGTGGTGGAGACACGGTGCGGTGCTGGGTGCTGGCAGTGTGCGTGGTGGAGACGCCGGTGCCGGTGGTGTGAGCTGGCAGCGCGCGCGGTGAAGACTGCCGCGCGCGTGGTGGAGACAGGGTGCCGGGCGCTCGGTGCTGGTGCTGGGCTGGGCATTGGTGCTGGCGCTGGGCGCCGTGAGCTGGCGTGCCGGTGCTCGGCGCTGGTGCCCGCTTCTGACAGTGAAGTGATAACAACCGCCGCTTCTAACAGTGAAGGGTAACAAACTGCCGCTTGCAGCAGTGAAGGGCGACCAAGCGCCGCTTCTGACAATGAAGTGCCAGCATTCAGGGGCCGCATGAACTTATGCGCGATACGGCGTCGTCGCTTGAGCGTTCTTTGTCTACTAGCGCTGTGGGGTATTTACACTCTTGAGGTTTTGTTTTGGCCGACAGCTGTGTCAAGGGCGTACGTATAATGTTCTATGCACAACATCAGGCTCTCAACCGACCATTGTGTTAGCATGTTCCAGCATGCTGCACACACAATGGTCGTGGATGCTGCTTGGCCTTGGGCGAGTGAAGCCTACGGGCTTTGCCGTTTGTGCGCATACTTTGGCGCGCATAAACTTATACGTGCAAGATCATACGGCCTTATCGTTCTGCAGGTCGTTGCTCCAAGCATGCTACAAAGTCAATAGTGGCGCTGGATACTGCTTGGCCTTGGGCCAATGACACTTACGGGCTTTGCTGTTTGCGCGCATACTTTTGTGCGCATGAACTAATACGCGCAAAATCATACCTTGTTATTCTCCAAATCGGGATAGCTAGGGGGTTCTTGTTGCAAATAAGAATGAGCTGGCTGCGCGTGCTTTCGAAAGGTTCCAAAAGGGTGTCGGTGCTGGTGCTGGTGTTGTGGTCCTGGGTGCTGGTGCTGTAAGCTGGCTGAGCGCGCGTTTAAGACGGGCGGTGCTGGTGCCGCTGCCGGTGTTGTCAGCTGGCAAAGTGCACAGGTGCTGGTGTCAGCTGATTGTGCGCGCCGTGGAGGTGCCGTAAGGTGGCTGCGCAAGCTGCATACATTCTTGTTCCAGCCAGTCGCATGTCAACAGGTCGTGGGACTCTGCCTAGCTATCTGCGTCTATGCTGGTGTAATTTGTGTATGTCTTTGAAGCTTCTTAGTAACTAGAAGTCTTATTGGATATTCTTGTGGATAGTTTTTGGGACTGCACCTGGCCCCCAAATAAGAGTCTTTGCAGGGTTTCCGAAGTACTGATGGGCCTGCTGCGAACTGGGCATACCCTACCCTTGGATTAAGTCCCTTTCACCGGGACATCTTCAGGTGAGAGATCCCTGAAGTATCTCAGCGCCCACTTCCCTTGAGAAAAGAAGTGAAGGTTGTGAGACTTCTCCCTCCTCATGAGCTGCGAAGGGAGAGCGAAACGATGCAAAGCGCGTGTTTTGACTATAGAATTTGGGTGAGAGACAGGACAATTGCAGGCTGCCTTCAATCATTGGAAGCTAGCTCATATGTTTATAACCCTCAGTTCTAAGCTAAACTGCAAGCCTTCCAAGCCATACCATATGACCTCTAAGAACAACAGCTCATCATGCCCAGTGGCTTTGCCAGCTCCACTTGAAGGGCGCGCCGCTGCTGTTCGGCCTGGCGTAGCTTTCTGCCAAACTGGCGGGTTGGACCTCTATGTAGTTAGGGTTGCCTTTTGGAAGATAAACCGCGCGGTCAAAAGCTTTAACTTCCCTGCGAAGGGATTAAAAAAGTAGGTCGGCAAGAGGAAGTGAAGCAATGGGTGTGGCTGAGTATGGCGGTATGCCCAGGGAAATCCAAAACAAAGCCAACCAGAGCCAGTCACCTGCAGCTCCCTGGATCTCGCTGCGCAAAACCCAACTTGACCAAAGAAGTCAGAAGTATTGATCCAATAATATTGCAAATAAAACATAATATAACATGATATCGTCTATAATCCTCAAGTATCCTCAACATAACATGTGTAATTACTTGAAGCATCCAACTGAAAGGACCTTCAAGACGTGTACCACAAAACGACCGTGCGCACCCTCCACGTCCGTGCCGACGGCGAACGCCTCGCTGAACTGCCGCTGGAGCGACTCCGCTTGGCCGGCTTCGCCTTGGTCTCCGGACGTTCATCCACAAGAACGACATCCACGGTCCGGGCTGACAACTTACGAGAGGGACTGCGTACATCTACATGAGCGGGTGGAGGCGGCGAGGCGAAAAGCTGCATCTCTTCCGGCTGGAATGATTTGCCAATTGCTGCCTGCTGCTAGCACCCCAGAGTTCCTTTTGTGGAAACCACCGATTCCATCCCACATTTTAGGGCCCACGACTCTTCGCGAAGCGCCGTTGCTTCTGCCTCAGAAGAATGGGACGATGGACTGCATCAGCTCCTTTGTTGGGGATATTCGGGGTTCTCACTACTTTGAACATATTGGAAACAACATCTAACGTATTCACCTGGTTGGAGCGTGTGCTCAAGCGCTTCCTGAAAGCAGGGTGTCTGAGTCTCTGATGCAGCCGAAGTGGCAACTGTTCTTTGGCCTTGGAGGCCTCCAATGCCTGGCTCTTGGCAGTGATGGAGGCTGGTGAATTCGACCAAAGATCCATGGGGAGTTCAACTTAATGATGACATGTGACATGTTTGTGATTAGTCATTTGGATAGCAAGCTCCATCGCTCCTTGAAGCAAACCCTCGGCAAGGAACCAGCAACCTTGACCAAACAGAACTGCTTGAGACACCCCACCTCATCTTTGTAGGCTTGAAGCTCCACAGTAGCCGCTTCCATCTCCTGGTCACATCATCCCAGATTCCAGTTTGGTGCGAAAAAAATTGAATCTAGCGAACTCGCTCCTGTGCCAGGCTGGTCCTCAAGCGCTGTTCTTCTGCGCTCACGCGGAGTGCCTGCCACGCACCCACGCCCAAACAACGGAAAAGCGACAAGTTCATGGCAGTCCATGTTTAGCTTGAGTTTCCCAAGATCGCAATGTAAAAATAGATGAAAGCCCCCCCCCATGTCCATCCATGTCCTATCGAATCACAAGTGCAAAAGCGTGTGGCGCTTGTCCCTGTCTTCACCTTCTTCAGGCGCTTGTCCATCTCGGCTTTCTCAGCTAGAGCTGTATTTAGCTCCTGCGGCTGACATGACTCTTCGGGCCCCTGAAATGTCTCGTCGTTCCCCACAGGTGTCTGGAGTTCATGGTCCTTCCGACAGCAACCCTTGTTTTCACCCGAACTCTTTTGGGTCGGATGTGGAACCCCCCACCGATTCCCTTCGTCCACCCGTTCTCCTCACAGAGGCGATTCCGGACCTGGAGCCCGCTGTTGCGCACCACCTCCTTCCGCTGCCTCTCCTTGGGGCGTGTCTCACGATTATGATTGAAATCGTCCAGCACAGTGAGCTGCGAATCGCTTTTCTTGTCAACTGGTCCACAAGTTCACAAGTCATGCCAAACGGAGACGCCCTTGGCCATGAGACACCCTCCATCCATCCATCCCTTTTTACTCCCCTACCGGGTCTCTTCCTTCCACACACCCCTTCCGCTCCGCTCCGTTCTGTTGCACCGAGGCACCACCTCCGCCGCGTGGCGCCGCGCCGCCTGCGCCCTCCGCAGCTGCTCCGCGCAGCGCTGCTCCGCCGCCTCCAGCGATGCCCGGTGGCTCTCGGCCTCCGTGCGCCACGCGCAGAGCGCCGCCTCGGTGTTGGCCTGCGCCTGGTGGTGCAATTGGGTTGGAAGATTTGGAGGAGAGTACCGTCATTGTTGTTTTTTGTTTGTTTGAAGGATTGCAGATGTCATTGCAATTGATTGCTAATCCCTCCGAATTCCCCGCCGTCGGTTTCACCGCCCGAACGTGGACGAAGGGGATTTGACCGCGTACTCGACCTGACGCAGCTGACCCGGCTCCGCCTGCACCTCCGGCTCCAGGGAGGCCTCCAAATTTGGAGCAGAACTTCAGGAGATTGGCACGTACCAGGATGATTTAAACAAGTTCAAAATTATTGAACAAGTTTGGCAAACAAAAAGGTAAGGTGGTAAGGGCCTCTTTCAAAGGGGCCTGACGAAAGGAATTCATTCAAAACCTTTGGGAGACGAACATCCCATCACTACACGTGGAACCTCTAGCCTCTTGAGAATGCAACTCAGCTCGAAAGCGTGTTTACCGTCAGGGCCAAGCACTCACTTGCGCACTGGAAATTTACCTCACTTGTGCACCGAACACTCACTTGCGCACTTTCAGAGGGGAAGGTGAAAAGAGATTCAACCACCAGACAATCTAATGGGTTCGGAACACCCCAATGTGCCGCGCAAAACGCACCATTCCTGAACAAAGTATACTGAAAGGAACAAAGTATACTCCATTTCCAGTGGATAAGCGAGCATAAATTGCGAGCGCTCGTCCACCCTGACCCCATAGAGAGGCTTCATCTACGAAGCTTCCCTGCCCGCCGCAAGTTTGATGAATCCATGTCAACAGCCCCAAGCTTGGCTTGACCTTCGTTCATCCAAAGCCAAATCAAACCAAGCCTCCAAGCCTTGACTCCAAGCATGTAAACAAAACCCTTCTCTGTTGGTGTCTTCCATGAACGGGACCTGTTCTACTGTACCTGTGTCAACCCAGGCTAACTAAAATGCAACTAAACGTCCAAACTGCAAACAGGTGTTCTCCTGATTTTCGAGGATGGACCCCCTGCAGCCCACCAGAAAGAGCTGCCTTCAGCTTTTCTGCCTCTCGGAGCTTGGCAGTCGCCTCAGATTGGATGAGCTCGACCATTCATGGGCGAATCACCAAGCAAAAGGTGATCACTTCCTCTTACAGTCTGGGCAGGATCCCTAGAGTCCAAGAGAAACTCCGAGCTTCACCAGCCAACAACCAACCAACTAGACGAAAAAACAGGCCAACCAACAAACAAGTCAAATGGACCAAAGGCACCTGGGCAAGCTTCCGATCCATCTCCGTCAAGCTCTTCAACTGCTGGCGACCCTCCTCCTGACCAAACCGTCCCCCGATGCTGCAGGTGGAATGGAGGTGAATCAAGACGGATGAATCCCCAAACCAGCATAGCTAAACATAGCTAATATTTCATAGCTATTCATCCCTGCACTCTTCTCTTTGGGAGTGGCAGTGGTTCATAGATCGGCCTTTGAGGTTTCTGCATTCACCCTCAGCTGTGTTTGGAGGGCGCCCAAATGCATCAGCGGATAAACAGGTTATCCAAACCAATGTATAACACCTCATTATTGTGTAACTATGTAAGTCATAAACCAACCAAATGATCCCGGTTGATCCTTTAATCCGCGTGCTTTTGTATCCTGGGGTTGTCTTTCAAACAAACGTCAGCAGCTTAGCTTCGAGTTTCCTCAACGAATCTGCAAGAGAAGACACACCGTGCTTGAAAAGCTTTTTCGATTGTGATGCAATGTGACTTTTCACTCGTCACCTGGTTACTTAAAGTGGCAAGTTTGTTGCGAACACATCAAAAGAGCCACCTATGGCATAGAACGGAGATTTCTTCTCCTATCTAATCTATCTACCAGAATTCCCCACTCTGTCATTCCTCAACCTCTAGACTCTAAAAATGCTTACTGTGCAGTGGATAAGTGATAAGCTACTGCCAAAATATGCTGCTCCCTCTATGAGCATTGAAAGTCGAACCGAAGGGATGACTTGAGTGACAGTGGTGTCCGGGGAAAAGGCATAAACCCCTAGACCATCGTTGGATGGGAATTCTCTCTTGGGTAAGTATTGTAATATATAACTATGTTGACACGAACTGCTTCGCCAGGGCATGGCCTCTGCATGCTGCAGCTGCTGTTTGGAGAGCAAGAGCTGCTGCTCAAGGCTGTGCTGTTCCCGGCGCAACCTGAGACACTGGACTGTCATCACAAGAAAACAAGAAAATGTATCCTCGAAAAAAACAAATAAATGTTTTACATGTGTTGAAAAGAGCGAAAAAAAAATAAACATTGTTTTCCATTTCCATGGTTCTTTGGTGGGAAAGTGCCTCCTTCTCCCCTGAAGCGAGCTCACTTGATTCTGCGGGGATAGTGGTCACCCCCATCCTCGCCACGGCCATGCGCCACGGGAGATTGTCCTTGTCAACTGTTCCGCAAAAATTCATTGGATTGTTCGTATAAAACTGTAGTGCAAACAGTGCCACCCCATTCGATGCTAAGCCACATCAATTTTGACCATCCCTCATATGGGGTGTCGTCATTGATTCGTTGGTATCTTCATTGGTCAGGTTGAAAGTTTGGGTGAGCATATCTCATGCCCCGCAGTGCCCAATCTTCCCAAACTCCAAGTTCATCGAGGCCCGGTTCCTCACCCCCAACACAGCCCAACAAATCTTCCAGCTTTAGTTGCATTTCCAGTTCTTGCTCGGCCGTTTTGCAGCGCACACAGCGCTGCACTGACGTGCCCTCCTGCACTGACGGTCCAGTCCACGAGACCCTGGTACTTGAGGTCCAAGGGTGGTATCAGGCTCAAGGCTGCCCAGCAAAAAGTTTTGTGAAATGCACTTGCATCAGGTTTCACTGGTGCTACAAACATCATGTCGCCAGCCCAGCTTGGCTCTGCTCGCTTCTCCTGAGCGTCACCCATCTGTCTCATTTCTGCCAGCTGCTGCTGCAGGCTCTGGTGCTCTTTTCTCAACCTTGCCGCGCATCTCACGGGAATTCATTCTGTATTCCTCTCCAAACTCTTGGCTCAAGTCCCAAAATGTGATTCTGATTTGAGTTGACAAGTTCAAGGGGTTGAGCTGGGTATACAACAATGAGCCCGCTCACTGCTGGGACCAGCTTATGTCATTGCAACCAGATAACACCTGACCTGGCAGACAGAGGGATTAGCGGACTCACCCGTGAACTGGTGACCTCACCGAAAACCTCAGACGCAGCGGCCGCATCCTGAGGTTTCCTTCAGATGACAACAAACATACGCTTGATAGAGCAAAATATCAATCCCTCCAACGGTCCAACTCAGCATTTGGCCCGAGCACTTCCTTCTTCGAAAGCTCAAAACCAAGTGTTGCAAGTCTGGGGAGCTAAATCAAAGAACGGCGAGGAATGGAACGGCATTATGTTTTCTCTTGCGGTTGCCGAAGGCGGTCGCTTGTGGCTGCACATGCACCTGATTGGGCCTGCCAAATCCTCACCATCAAAAAGAGAGCGCATTCGCCCATACCCTTCAGTGAGGTTAGGTTGAAAAGTGGAGGGCGCAGCATACGACATATCTCCTAAAAATAATATATATATATATAAGTTGGGCTAGCTTGTCGCAGGGTTGGCAGGTAACCCAAGCGCAAGAACAAGTGCAACAAGAGCACCACTCTGGCCATTAACAAGCATGCGCAAGGATTCACAGCGACACCAATTCCAGGGTACTCCATGCATTCAGGCGTACAATGACAATGCACCAAAACATTGAAAGTACCGGAATAAAAACATGTGCCACAGTCGTGAGAAGACAAGCGGCAACGACAACAGAACGCTCACATACTGATTCATTATCCAGGGGTTCGTGGGGCCACCCAAAAGCGTACAACTAAAAACATCAAAAGCCCCACGCAGTGTGTGAAGCACAAATCAAACACTACATCGATGGACTCGGCTCAGCACACTGCCAGATCATCAATCAAGCGCTGTCTCGAACACAAAGTTCACCAGCACCAGGCAAAGGATCTGTATGTGAGCTCATCACACTCTGCCACCAGCCAAGGAAAAATCAATCCTAGCTGGTAGAGCAGCTGCATCAATAGCCCATACCAAGAGAGAAAAATCTGCAAGTTGCCACCTGATGCACATTATCATGTACTGCCTCACTGTCAAGATTCCAGACAGTGTCAAAACCTCCCGTGAAGGTTCTGGCCCAGTCCATCTGCTACAGGAACACGGGCGCACAGGAAACGAAGCGTCGCCTTTGCGACTGGGATTCTAAGCTGCTCCCATGCAGCAATCTTGAACCCTAGCATTATATTATGTATATCTATACATATATAGAGAGAGAGAGAGATTATGTATATAACTACCAATGTTTCTTGCTTTGCATGATGCTACATGGAACCTCGGCAACCAAAATTGCCTGCCAATGCAGGACGTAATTGTGTGGCGATGTCCGAAGAACAGACCCGGTGTTGATACCAAAATGTTGAAACCAAGAGGCATCTCCAATTCGTGCTCTGCATGTTTGCAATGTACACAGCGCATTGGAGAGGCCTCCAGCACAAAGCACTTTGACGTGGGTCCACAAGTCTCTTAACAAAGAACAACCTGTACTGTTGCGCCTGAACCAGTCCTTTGCTTTCCCTGAACCTCAGGAGAACTGAGTCCACAAAGTCCTTCATGCTAAAGTGACCCCAAGAACAGTTGGAAGCAAGTCTATCGATTGGGGTGCGCTGCGCCAGAGGAGCTCTCTGCACATGTAGTGTAAGAGGCCATGGGCCATATGTGAGAGACCGCTAAAAGGAAGCCTTTTGAACTGTTCTGTGACATGTAAGGCAGAAAACGGGAAGGGCCAGGGAACGCTGGAACTTTGCACTGTTCTGCGAATGTGTGTCTGTGCATCAAACGTCTTGGCAAACACCAAACAGCAGATCTGGTCGCAAACGCTCGATCATCACCCTTTTCGGTCGCCTTCCTTTAAAAAATCGGATATCGTTCCTCCAGTGTGAGCTGTCCAGACTTTTGACACAGCATGAGACATCAAATTACCTAACTAATGGCATAAATGAATAATTAATAAACAGCTCACTAGCCACACCCACTCCCTCTTGCTCTCTCACTCACTCGCTCGCTCACTCCCTCTCGCCTGCGTAGTTGCTGGAATGGAGCCGACCACCGGCACCCTCTGGGGCGGCCCAGGCCCCGCCCCCGCGGGCCCCGCCGGCGGCCCCATCGGTCCCCCCAGCGGCACGGCTTTGGCGCTGCCGGCGGGTCGCGTGACCAAGAACTCCAAGGGGTGTCCTGCACGCTGTTGGCATTGGTGCTTGGTAAGTTCAGACCCAAAAGCCGGCTGCATCAGGATCACTTCCACCAGTTCTGCCAACTACAAACCCCCGAATGACGATAACACAGCATCTGCTTGTGACTCTGACACTTTGCCTTGGGACTTCATTCCGGTAGCCCCCTCTACCATCCTCTACCCCTCCATCCAACCTGAATCTCGGCTTTGACCTGTCAGCACAGTTCCCGTGATCTGGCCTGACTTGGCTCCGGAGCTTGAGGATCTCACTGTCTCCACCATCTCAGGCATCTGGCGGCGGAGCTGCGGAGGCACCAACCATCTCAAACAGGTCAATGTCCCCAAGCATCGACACGAAATCATGGCATGGATTGGAAGGCTGTGAGGAAGTGGATAGACGTTGCCTTTTTCAGTCAGAAAGCACACAAACATTGTGGCCCTTCTTGCTTGTATCTCTCAGATCTCTTCCTCTAGCATCACCGGCAGGGGTTTTTCTTTTGCAGGTCCGATTTAAAAAAAGGTGTTTCTTTTGCGCTCCCAAGGACATGTTCGGTGCTGTTTGCTCTTCATCGCTTTGCAGTGCTTTGTACAGCAGGGTCACCTCTTCAGCCATTCACCACAGCGCCTGAGGCATTGCTTTGTAGGTTCAAGATCCCATGGTGGTTACAGTACAGGTACATGTGTAATAGGCCTTCCAGGATTCTTGCATAATTCAGTGTTTATCGTTCTTGTTGTCGTTGGCTTCTCTTATTTGCTGAAAGACATGACCCAACTTCTACCCATGCCCTTCCGTGGTCCGAAGAATGACCGTAGAGTGCCCTGCTGAGGACCAGGCGCTAACCCCCTGCGTCGCAACACAAATCCCGCCCACGGCGACCCTCCCGCCTGCTGATCGCTCCCACTCGGCAACAAGACCAGCGGCTGGGGGATCCGCACCGGCCTCACCGGCACGGCAGCGATCAGCGGCGGGGCGGCGGCGATCATCGTGGGCGCGAGGAGGGCGGCCGGGGCAGCTGCGGGTGCGAGCGCTGCAGGGCTCTCAGCCTGGCACGTTTTGCTTCTGAGTATCCAAGAATTGAATGCGAATGGCAATGAAATCTCTTCGGGATTACTTCTGCGATGCTGGCTAGGTTCGCAGGAGGTCACGAACATGGGGCCAAGCATAACTTGATATGACGTAAAATGACCTATGGATCAGCTCCAAACATGCAATCAAATTTGTGGAGGTGCACCTTCGTGTGTCATTACCTGCTTCCGAAATACCTTCAAGGGATGACCAACTGAAACAAACTCTGGGGTGAATAAACGCTCCATGTTAGAAAGCTTCAAACCCGCAGCCCCAGAAGGGCTTACACGGACCAGGACGCAAACTGTTCTTTTAATCAGCAATCCTCTGTCGCCCTCCAGTTCCTTAGGAACAGCCGGGAGAAACACCTCAAGAAAGCAAAACGCATCAAAACGCCTCACCAAAGATCCCAGGTGGAGAGTTGCAAAAAAACTTTGCTAGGGAGTCTTGCACAACGGCAAAGGGGTCTAACCCCACAGTGCCACACCCCAGGCCTTCGCGCAATGGAAGCGTCACAAATCCTATAAAACAAGACTGGAGCGCCCATCAAGCTTGGAAACCCTTAGCCCTTAGGGTCTCAGGAGTTTCCTTCAACGGCAAGGCCTGGCCCGGGCTCCCTCAACCACCAATCACTCGAAGATTTCCACAGCGGACAATATCCAACCCCGCCATCTCCATCCATCTCCAAGATCTTCACCAACTGATCAACTCGTGTCATTTCATCCCCGGATCTATAACTAGTTACAGTGGCCGAACGCTCCGAGGGTGAAACCGATGCCCGCAGGAGGGGCACGCTGACGTGTTCTGCTGCCGGATGTGCCGCTGGTAGTCCCGCAGCGTCTCCGCCGCGTAGGCGGCCAAGGGACCCCGAGCGTTCTTCGAGATCTGGAGATCGCAACGGAAGCGGTTGGGATTCCGGGCCCAAAGCCGATCCTCACTGTAGGCCAAACGCTTCAAGAACTTCCAGAAGAGATCCCGCAAGGTGTCCAAGTCACTCCTTTCAATGAGTTCTTTGCAAAGAAGCTCCAAGTGATATGAAGAGAGTGCCTGGGCACGGGCATCTAAAGCCCTCCAGTGTTTGCCCAGGAGTACCAGCGCTACGAACTCAGCATGTCTGCTCCCAAAGGCCAAGAGCTCTTCATCCACTCGTGCCAGCTCTGCCGCTCCATAGTAGCGCCTCTCCTCTTCCGCAGGTACCACTTCCGGCGCTTCGCCCGTCATGTGGAGATCTAGAAGGACAAACTGCCCAGCTGCGATCTTGAGACAAGAGGGGCTTTCCCCATGCAGCTCGACGCGTCCGCGGTAGAAGAGCTTCTCGAGACCATCAAAGACTTGGGCCTGGTATCTTCGACTCCTCGAGCATTGAAAGTCCTCCAGGAAGATCACAAGATCTGCTTCCTGGCTCTGAAAACAATGGGAAAAGGCGCACCCCCAAACCGAACCAGCCAAAAGGGTATTGACCCACAGTCAAAATCTCCAAAGCTGCAAAATGACGAAACATAATCAGCCAAACGCAACTCAAAGCATCAACGCAATAGTTGAGGGCAGTCTTGCGGCCAAAAGCGCCTCCAATGTAGCAGCGCTTCACATGTTGGAGGGTGCCACAAGCCAAAGCCACCAGTCCGTGCAACAGCCTCTTGCAAGGCTCGCCTCATGCAGTCTGAGGTCGCCAAACCGAAAGGAAATCAAACGAGGAGCCTCCCAACATCTTTCCACTTGTTTGTCAGTTTGTCGCCCAGAATCCCCGCCCAGCGATTGCATCCAACTGACGCTGCTCTCTGAGCCCCAACCGCTCTTCCACAGCCAAAGGCTCATCTGCCAAGCGTAGTACCTCCTGCAGCGAGGGCTTGCGCCGCACCGCGGGCGACGTGCAGATCGATCGCAAAAGCTGGTGCCATTCATCCAAGCGCCGCTCCATGGAGCACTGGAGAGCTGCACAAGCTGCTGAAGAGCTGAAGAAGTGCCATCTTTTATTTAAAAAAACTCTGCTGATGCCTACGAATTCTGTGCGACCATTTGTGGACCATCAGTTCTTCTTAGGCTGGTTGGCATGGTGGAAAGGTCAACTGTCATCTGTGAGCAGAGACGTCAAAGGGGACACACGGGCATCGCCGAGCCGCAAGCTTCTCAGTGGGGCATAGGTCCTAGGTTTAGCTTTGGCCAACTGCAGGGCGAACAGTAGCAACATTGGACATCCTCGCCTTCCCAAAAGAAACGGTGTAGTCTTCAATTCCTGATCTCCATCTACGACTGTACTCATGTCCCCCCATCTCCTCGTCAAGCTACCTTGCAAAAGCGGGGCCAGCTTTCAATTTTCGGGAGACCTTGATGATCCTTGATAAGTGGGTCTCAGTGGTTTCCAAGTTCTGGGTCTGCCAAGTAGCCTCCCATTCTAAGTAGCCTCCTGCCGGTTATGAGCTCAAAGACTTGGAAAGGACGGACAGTGGACGACATGGTCTGCTGAGTATCTTGCACTACATGGAGCACCAGTTTGGGAGAATGGATTCGCACGGAGTCCCATGAGTCCCGTCTGCATTTGTCCCATGGGAGCGCTCCGCCTCTGGGACTGGTTCCAGGCGGGTGCGATAGTCCAGTGGCTCCTGGATCCGCCTACACCACGTGGCAAAAAGCCCTGAGTTCAGGTGCGACAGGAGCCTATTAGGCCAAGATTTATGTGGAAATTGAGTAACGAAAGAACACCTCTATCCAATCCAGGAAAGGGCACGACGTGTAAGGTGGTGTGTCATGATGTTTTTATAGCCCATTTCGCCCGTCTCACTGGGCACTCCTACATTGGTGCGTGAGCGGCAAACTGCATGTAGAGATGTACCAGCTTGCAAAAGGTACCCGAATGGACAGAAAACGTCAAACTTCTCTGGGTTCACTATATTCTCCGTTTGCTTCGATTCACACACGCTCTCCCGCTTTAGTGGTGGAATCAATTTTTTCAACTGGAAAACCAACGTCCCCACGACAAACGAGGACGAAGCGGAAGATGTCCTTCACCTCGTCTTCAACGGCAGTTCCTGGCTTGCAGTTGGTTGGCTTCTTGGGAGGACCGAGCAGTGGTTGGTGGAGGCACCAATTTCGAGGCAATCGTGCCGCACACCGTCCCTTGAAACAAACAATCCTAAGTTGGGAAAGCAAAAGTAGCAATCAAAAAATGTCCTGTCAATTCATGACTAAGCCAGCCACCAATGGATTTGTGTCTATCAGGTCTATGATTTGTTCCGGACATTGGCATTGCTCAAAGTGCGGCCAACCCACAACTTTGGTGTACAATGTTGGTGGAACGCCCAAGACTGAGATTCATGAGACGTTTCGTGCTAAACCAGCGACCTGTAAAAAGCAACTATTATAGTTACAACTTACAACTTACAACCAGTTTGAGCATACCAATTTGGGGGTCCAACTTGCCCAACTATGACAAAGGCTGGGTGCCCCAACCACCGGGCTCGCTCAAAGCCACCTGGCGGAATCGCTGGGAAGCTCGCCAAGCCGAGGAGCTGTTCAGGAGCATTGAGCTCCGCACCCATCGTCGGGGTGACATCTTCTTTTCCCCTTGTGGCACTGTATTCCCTTAAACTTGGGGGGGTTAGTGACCTCCCACGACCTTCACCCGTGCAGTGTTCGAATCCATTGAGAAATGCCCGCTCAACGCCACGCGTTAACAGCAAAAGTCCAGTAATACGAAAACAGCCAAAGGTGCACGTCCTGCTACACTTGTGCGAAGTCAAACCTAAGGTTCTTTCAAAATTTTGGCCACTTTGGAGTGGGTGAACATCCATTTGCAAGCCACAGTCTGCACCAGGACACCGTTGCCATGACTCACAGCCCAATGAACCGCTTGAGTTGGAATCCACCACCCCCACCCCTCACCATGGGGTCTGCTGCTTCGCTCTTGTCTGCCAAGTTCTCCTGGTGTTGCGAAAGATCACAGCAAAAAACAGACTTGGGAACTGGTAGATCTGTCAGAGCTGGCAAGATCCAACGTGAACAGGCGATACAAGCCACTGAATGCCAACAGAACTCTGGTCATCTCGTTACAACCAGAACATATAGCATCAGACCGCAGTTCTACAGGAACACATTGATCGGTGTCCATCGATCAAAGCCCACGAGATCTGACTCCACCAAGGCATACCAAGGCCATAAACTCGCACAAGTCAGGATGTATTACAGTATTAAAAATAAAGAAATACCACGTCTCTGCCAAAAAAAAAAGGATATCGTCACCCTGATCGTTGCTTCAATAGTCTGGGTACAGCAGAATAGCCAGTTCCAAGGCCGATGGAGACCGTCTAGATTCTACCCCCGGATTGCGAGTCACAGCTATTCCAATGGATGGAAACAGTTTCCAATATACATTTCGAGAGAAAAGAACATGTCCTTGTCTCACTTGTCCCTCTATCTGGCATCACTGCGTCACTGGCGGCAAATGCCCAGGTCGACTCGCTCCCTCCTGGGACTCCAGCGCCACGCCCGGCCATTGGATCAGCGTCATGGCATCCGCTGAGATTCGCTGGGGATCGGGGATTGGGACGGTAGTCCCTTACGCATCTCATCCAAGGCTTGGGTTGAAATGGAAGGCGGGCTGCCCAGGCTTTGATAGATGAAGCCAACCCTGAAAACATCCTTACATCTTCGTCTCTTCCAGAATTTTCTCGGAAACACGCAGCAGTAAACTCAGTGCAGTAGACACCTCCACTCGCAGGATTTCGGCATGTACAAATGGTTTGGACCAGAGCGTCGCGTGGCGATACAAAGCCACAAAATCATTTGATTCAGATGACACAAGAAACACCCAAAACACAAATTGTGTCCTCTCATACTTGACCCTTGCAATGGGAAGCGTGCAAAGTTTTGGCAAGCCCATGGCTCTTGGCAGGCTTTGGATGTGTCTCATCTCAAGCCAAACGATTCAAGTTCTTTTGACAACAAAATCCTGGACCTGAGATTAATAGGCAGGTCTAAAAAACCATGACTTCTGGGACACACCCATGTCCTATGATGTCTTCTGTATACATATATATATATATATCGCTCGTCGAAGCACCCTGGGGCGAGAGACCACCGATCTCGATTGCTCGATCTGGCGTAAGCGCTCGAACACAAAGAAGGCCATGCTGATGTTCTGCAGGGCATGTACAGTTTGTTCGGATGAGACCCGCTGGACAGTTTCTCTCTGGGTTTCCCATGCAAGAGAACACGTGCTCCAGGGATGCAACGCTTTTTTGCTAAGTTGCACAGCCGTAGTTTCTTTGAGTTCCACCATCGCATGGAGAACCCTGCAAGGCTTTGGCAGGCCCTCTTCAGAATAGAACTTGGGGCTTTGGATGTGTCTCATTTCACCAGACGGGACAACCCATTCAATATCATTTGTACAGCAAAATCCTGATCCTGGAGACGAAGTGTGAAGAGGTGGAGACACCCAAGGACCCAGGTAATTTATGTACATCCACTCCCATCCCAGCCATTTCGCCAGCTCCGGGGACTCAGCCACTGGACTCTCCTTGGAAGAAGACAGCCACAAGTCCCTGACTAAAAAGGCCACTTGTTTGTGGATCGATGATGTCTTCCAGTGCTCCCAAATGCCCAGGCACTCTGAGACATAAGAATGCCTTGACACAGCTCAGGGGGAACCCCTTTCACCAGCTTTAGGGGTGTGCTTTGACATCCCACATCTGCCCACCTCTCACCCTCTCAGGCTTGGGCCCAAAGAGAGTCTCCCGCTCTTCGAGCCCACCTGCCACCGCATCGCCACGGTCCAGATCCGAAGCTCCGCCGATGTGAAGAAAGAATCCGGAATAGGGGCAAATCCTGAGACCTAACCAGGCTTTGGGAACCCAATTCCACCAAAAGACATATCAAATTCATATGGTAAAATACACCAGTGGAAGCGTATTCCCACCCTAATCAAAATGCCTGACACCTTTTGCCCAGCTCAGTCCCTCGGATCCCCGGCCAACCCAAAAAGAACACAGGCCCCACCGACCAACGAGATCATCTTAGCGGAAAACACCTCCATCTGCTTAGGTTCATTCCAAACCTCGCTTAGGTTCGTCCCACCACAGGAGTTGCCTCTCACTTTGTCGGGAGATTCCGAAAACCAAAAAGAGCAACACCAAAAAGGATGGCCTTACGAAGGCCTCCCATGAGGAGAGCGAATTCTTCCGGCTAAGCAGCCAACCACGACCCGCCATCACTCCAGGCCACTCCACCGCGACCGTGCGCCCCTCCCCCCCCCGTTGGAGCCGCACCCGCCCACTCTTCGGACCGCTCAAGGCTTCCAAGCGGACCTCGCCAATGGCGGGCAGTGTTCGGTTGGGTCATTCGTTGGTTCCGATGGGCATCTGGAGACCTGGTGTGAAGCCTCTCGGCGTCGGGACGACGAAGGGGTAGCTCCATTGCGCTCTGTGGCGGTTGTGCCATTGCTCGTTGACCATCTCAAATGATCCTTTGCGCCCAAACTGAAACAAGTACACTCCCTGGAACTGACATGGAAGCGGAAAACACCCTGTTTATAGAGGAAAATGGTCTTCCAAGGGGCCATGTTCCACTTCCCATGTTAGTTCCAGGGAGTGTATTACTACTGTATATAAAACTGGAAACAACACCATCCCCTCCACAGTCCACGCACTCCACCCATCTCCTCCCCACCTTCGAGACCGCTTGAGAGGCGGCGGAATAATGCCGGCCTAAGCCCGAACTCGTGGCTAACGGTCCACCCTTCCTTTCAAAGGCCGACAAATTAAATTACTTGTCTGACTACATGATCGTTTGAAAAAGCAATGGCATCCAGCCTAGAAGCAATGGCCTCCCACCTAATAGCAATGGCCTCCAACCTAATAGCGATGGCCTCCAAGTTCAGTTTTGATATTCAGGAAAATTGATCCCAAGACCTCAAGGAATAGGAAAGAAGAGCCGTTGGCAACACATCGATCAGAGGTGGGATGACTATAGTAAACAGCCAGGTGGAAAGGACAGCTCTGGAAAAAACCAAGTTGCTGAGCTGTTGTTGCCAATTTTGACCCAAACCCATCTCACCCTGGTCCTGGGTCCTCTGAGAAGAAGGATATCGAGAGATTGACAGGTTGATTCAATTCTTCTTCCACTGCTCCCAGTTCTCAATCTGCTTGTTATCCTCATTTGTCTGAACAAAAAAAGTAAACATCCCAAAGGCAGGCTCCCTCGCGCACAGACGCCACATCGGAATGGAGAGCTGCACTGTGCGCCTTTCTTGAGGGGATGGCCACCCTTTTGAGGTGTATGCTCTCATCCAAGGGCAACTAAGTCAACGGAGGCAGGGGAGACAAATTGTGACAGTTTGTCAAACATTTGAAGGTTTGAGGGGACGATCAGCGCTTGAGCAATCCCGAGTCAACGATGTTAGCGTCCAAGGACTTTGTTTGTGGCGCCAACACACCACTTCGGAATTGAGAGTTCTCAGAAGCTACTGTAATCCATTCATTTTGGACTTACACAAAGGAGTTTTTCAATTTTTCAGAAAGTGTTCACCCATGTAAAAATTCAATATATATGTATATATATGCACGAAAATGCACGAAGTATGTCAGGTCAGCTCAGTTGAACACAGCACTTGAACAACTTAGTGAAGAGACATCATGCCTGAAGTACATGAAGTATTGGCAGGATCTTTTTCTATCCATCCTTTGTTGTTGATTCCAGCTACCAAACTATCCTCTATGTTTGTTCCGCCTCTCTCTCTGTCTCTATCTCTGCCTGGATCTGCTTCAGCATCTCCTGGAGCACTTCCTGAGCCTCACGAGCGTGCCTCAGCTGGCTGACGTCGGATGGAAAAAAAAACAAATCAACGGGAAATTGTTTTTTTCCGAAATAACATCCATGTGAGGTAAGATTTGTGTTTTTGTCCACTGTTATATGTTGTTGCAGCGCAAACTGCACAGAGACCAAAACAAATCAGTTGCCCGAAACGAATTTTGGTATGTGCGACATGACAAACACGAAAAATTGGATCGAACAACATGATATACCTTGAACATAACGTGCGCCAACAAAGTTTACGAGAATGTCCACCTGGTCAGGTGACTTATGTGTTCAGGATACTTGCAGGTCTTTCTTCGTCGTTTTATGATTCGAGTCGCTGGGAGCCGGCCGATTCTGCTCGGGTGTCCACCTGCAAATCAGTTCATCGGACGTCCAGTATATGAGGGGAGGACCGATTGGCGAACAGAATATCGCGGAGTATGCCGGTACACAAAAATTTTGGGCGGGACGTCTCTGAAGCCATGCAAGCCATGGCCATTTCGCATCGCTCTTCCCTTCCCCTCAACATGAATGGAACCCACCGACGGTCCCACCTCAACATGCTGGTAAACAACGGAGACTGTTCGTTTTCCTGTCTGTCTGTCTGTCTGTCTGTCTGTCTGCCTGCCTGCCTGCCTGCCTGGCTGGCTGTCTGTCTGCCTGTCTGTCTGTATGTATGTATGTATGTATTTAACTATGCATGTTTGCGTGTATGCATGTAAGGATGTATGCATGTAAGGATGTAAGCATGTATGGATGTACGTATGAATGCATGTGTATGTATGCGCTTGCGTCTGTGTATGTAACTATTAAGTATGTATGAATGTATGTATGTACGCAACTATGCATGCTTGCACGCACGCTCGCGTGTATGCATGTACGCATGTATGCATGTCTGTATGTGGGCATGCATGGATTTACATATGAATGCATGTGTATACATGCGGTTGCATCTGTGTGTTTATGTATGCATGCATGCACGCATGCATTTATGTATGTATGTAAGGATGTATGTATGTATGTGTGTATGTACGTATGAATGCTGGATGTATGCATGTATGTATCTATGTATGACTCTATGCATGTATGTACCGAAGCACACGTAAAAAAGACCACAGCATTCTAATTCACAATAGAGGTCTAACTAATCACTGCGATACCTTGTACAGTCAGCAGGGGGCCGGAGCCAGGGGGGTTCTCCGGCCAACGAAGACACCGTTTTCCCTATGTTTTCAACCAAGTGATGTAAACAATATGGTTTCGAACCTATTCACCTTGCCGTTCCATCTCAGGGCTGTTCAGGCAGCGCTCTAAGCCGGTAATGTAATCACTAGGGTGGAACTTCCAAACTGATTTAGTCTTGCGAGCATGGATCTAAGTGTGCGCCGCAGCGTCGTCCCACTATGGTGCGCTGTGTGATCCCTTCGGGGTGCTTTTGAGCATAGACCCTCAAGGGTGATTTTTCACAGGCTAGTCGTCTTGCACAGTCAACGCTGGATTCTCGTCCTTTCTCGAGATTGCTGCTCGAATGCCCCGGCTCACTGGAAACTTTCGCAGAATGATATGCCATGCGGCTAATGTATTCACTGTATATTTTGCCACGTCGCGCAGCTAGGTATTCACTCACGCGGCTAGCTAAGTATTCACTTTATTGCCTTCTCAACTCAATCAATTCGTCCCATTTCTTTCCAGACGACCCAGCTGCTGCCGCCTCCTCTGAGACACGACACTTCACCTGCGGCCTCGCAGCACCAGTGGCACAGCCTACAGTACCAGTACCACTACCGGTACCGCTACCAGCACCGCTGCATCTCCTCATGCACCACAACCAGTTCCCACCGTTACCCACCCGGGACGGCCATCCCACACAGCACTCCACGGCACGCCAACGCCACCACCATCCACCTTTCCACCACAACCGCCGCTCACACTCTTCACCGATCAAAGCCTCACAGCAGCCATTCAAACTGCTGCTCTTGCTGCTTCCTTATCCGCAGCACGCATGAGAACGACCACATTCCCAGAATCAGCAGCCGAGCAAAGCCCTTGATCTTTGGGCCCATTACACGTTCTGCGCATGAGAGTTGGTAGCGTGCCTGCATGTCCTTGTTCATTTCACTGTGAACCCCATGCCGCTTGCTACATGTATTTGAACATTTCTTTCATGTCAGGGGGCGCCGTACGGCTTTATGTGTGTGTGTGTGTCACTTCCTGTCTCCAAGGAAAAAGACTACAGCATTCTAATTCACAGTAGAGGTCTAACTAATCACTGCGATACCTTGTACAGTCAGCAGGGGGCCGGAGCCAGGTGGGGGGTCTCCTAAACGTACCTGCGCGTTTTCTTTATAAAACAAGTGATGTAACAATCTTGTTTCGGACCTATTCACCTTGCCGTTCCCTCTCAGGGCTGTTTCTCAGGTTTCAGGCAGCGCTCCAAGCCGGTAGTGTAATCACTAGAGTGGAACTTTCAAGCTGATTTAGCTCGTGGGAGCATGGATCTAAGTTGCACGCGTGCGTGGATGCGTGGGCGTGTTACACACTCGGAGAATTTGAAAACGAATCTGCACGCCCATGGTGTTGATTGCATCTACGCTTTATGTGTGCAGGGTCTGTTGGGTCTTCGGCCACAGTGTTGACTTTGGAACAAACAGGTTGGAAAAGTTCGGACGGGGACAAAGAGAAATAGAGCCAAGCAAGCAGAGAAGCGACGCAAGAGACCAGAAAACCGCTGCCCCTTCCCCACTACCGATACTGGGCGGCGACCCACCTCCCCTCAAGCTCTGGCAGCTTTCTGAAGGCGTTTCTCCGCCCGCTCATTTGGAAGGGTTGGAAGAAGACATGATTCGCCAACCACTGCTGGTTTGCTGGCAACAGAATGGGGTTGTGAAGCGGACCTCTGCGATTCCTGTGGCCTGAAGCCCACAGATGCAGGTAGCCTGAATGGCGTAGAGGGCCCAGGATCCTCTTCATCACCCTAGCGCCGCCGCACGCCAACTCCCGCATCACTGCCTCGGTGGCAAGTGGGCACCCTTCAACGCGCAGTGGAAGATGAAGGTCCAAAGAAGATCTACTTGCGGCACAGAAAACATAGCGCCGCGCTCTTGACGCAAAACCGCTCCGAAGTTGGCTCGCGCCGATTCTTCAAAAACGGGACCTCCGCTGTCAACAGATTGATATCGTTGGGCGCAAACTTGACGTAGTAACAGCGGTATCCTTCTGAGTCCGTCCAGGCCGCCCCAGAAGATCATAACCAAACACGCGCGGGTAGTCCCGCAGGGCCACTGAGGAGGAGGCTTGCAGCAAGAATGGAGGGAGCACAAAAACCTCGCAAATTTTCTGGCACGCGCAGCAAACACTGTGCCTTTAGCGCGTTTGCGTTGAAAACTTGCTGCGTTCGTAATCTGCTCCTCAGGGCGCCCCCCTTCCTTCAACATAGCTTCACGGTGCGAGTTACGCCGCGCAAGTTGCCTCACATTATTTGCATTTTTGTTTGTGGCAGCAGCAACAACAACCCCCGCCAGAAGAGCAAGACAACAAGAACAAGAACAAGAACAACAACAACAACAGGGTTCATGGCGCTGTCGCCGCCCGCACAAGGGTTGTTCATGTTTTTTACCCGTCGCTATGAGAATCAATTCTGTTGGTTCGTTTGCGCGACCTGCACTTTTTTGGGGCAGCCATCAGCAGAAGCGTCACTGCCGCCACAGGACTTCCGCCATCTTCTTACGCCTGTCCAGGCTCAAGATACGCACGTTTCGGCGCCACTGCCACGCATACGCATAGGTCCAAAAAAGCGGGTTGCGGCGGTCGGCTTCTTTGCAACAGAACTTGGGCTTGAACTTCTTCGCGAGGACCACATTCTATCCAACATTTGCGTGCCACCCAACCGCTTCTTGCCCTTCAACATCATGTCGCCTTTTTGGTGAACTGCTGCTTCTTGTGAATGACATGATTGACAAACTGGTGCTTCCATTGTTTCTTGGGCATGTCTAGCATACAGAAGCTCTTGTAGTTTTTTGCCCTGTCCGTACGCAGCGTTTCGGAAGCTTCTTCAAAAACGGTGCAGTGCGCAAGTTGGTCAAACTCTTGGCAGGTGGACGTGCCTTCGGAGGTAAGAGCTGCTCGGGCAAAGGATGGACCAACAACATCAGCTCAGTTTCTCGACAGGCCATACCAAACAAATGAACATGAACCTGAAAGTACAGGCGATCTCTTCTTGGAACTCTTTGGAGACACTGCAGTTGGTGCAGCCACTGCGTCCAGCACCAAGTGTGGGTGATCCATGGTCAGCGCTGGCACTAACAAACGAAACTGCGAGACCCGACGAGTGAACACTGCCAACGCTGCCGTGATTGATGGTGGAATAGACCCAAGCTGGTGATAACGTAACCAAATGTGACCCCAACAATCTTTCAACAAGCCTGAAGACTCTTCTAAACACTCGAAGTCCAACATCTAGTGCTATGTGCAACACAAGCGTCAGCCCACCAGCGAGTGCCTCGATCCAACAAGACGTCCAAGTAGCGGGGCTCACAAACAAAAAACAGACAAAGGATCGGGCCAGGAAAACAACAAGACGCACAACGAAAGCAAACCACGCAAACGCAACCTGCGCATGCTTGAACCCAAAAACTCGATGACCCTCAGGTAGCCCCAAACATCCGCACATGTGAACAAAACATCAACATTCTGCGTTGTTGTCCCCCCCCACCCCCCATCCGAAATCAGTTCTCGGGCGGCAAGGGCGCCGAGAACCAACAACAACCACTCTCACCTGCTTGCCCCTGCCGCCTGCCACTGGCCCCATGCTGGCCCGCTGTTGGGCATAGGCCCCTTATATTAGATATGCACATAACATTAACATTCAAACATGAACATGAACATTAACATTAACATTAACATTATCATTAACATTAACATTACATACATTCATTCATACATACATACATTCCATTCTATTCTATTCTATTATATTCTATTCTATTCCATACCATACCATACCATACCATACCATACCATACCTACATTACATATATATATACAAATACATACGTCGTACAACATGATAAAACACCGGAAGAGTCCAGGAGTTGGGACCCTGAAATGGAGTTGGTCTTTCTTTCATGGAACTGTTTTTTCCAGTTCGATCCTTTGTTGGACACTTGGAAGTCTGCCGTGCTAAGTGCTCGGTACTGGTTGTTCCATGCTACCACTGACGTTACAGTACCCCACCTGTGGCGCTGCAGAAACTTCGTCTGCGTCCGGCATGGCGGTTGCACGCCGTTGGCAGGTATGGCGTGGCTCGATCGTCGACTCAAACTGAGTGCGCCCAGCGCAACTCAGGTACAGCCCAAGAATTAGGACACACCAGAAGATGTTTATATATCAATATGTACATGTATTCCTAGAGAATCCTAGAGACCTATATTGGCCAGGCCAAATGCCAAACCAACGGATGACTCGCTGATACCCACATGTGACATGGCACTTCCTCACGGCTGGCAGCGGGCATCCCACCGAGTCCATCACCAGCATCCAACCGAGTCAAGTTGGCACAAAGAAGAGGTCGTGGGGTGGAGCATTTCACTTCAGTAATGCTTGGACAATTACACCATCGTGTGCTTCCAGTACATGATTGAAAGTCCAGGCTGTGGCATCTGTCTGTGCACTGACTGGTAGAAAGGCTTGGAGACAGAATAATTCGGGGTGCTTTTTGGTCTTCCAGTTTAAATAGAGTTGCAGCCTTTCTGGACAGATCCCAAAGTCGACTTCGTCTCTGTGGTGGTTAGAGTATCTATCTTCGTTCCCAAACTCACAGCAATTCCGCCCAGCTTTTTGGCAAGCCAAAAATCATAAGCGTGTCGGGTGCCGAATACTACTTTAAGCACGTGCTAATTCGCAGTCCGCAAATGCCCCGCTGACACGGCAGGCTGACACGAACTGGTCCGACTACGTCAAATGGCCATCCCGTCGGCATGGTCGGGCGCTGTGACAGTATCTGTAACATCCATGACACGACGACCTTTTCAAACACACAAGTGCGACCTCAGCCATCCCTGGATCAAAAACGCGGGCCAACAGCTCTTGGGATCACAAACAGCTGGATAGTTTTGGTGTGACGACTGCTGATAAACGAATGGAACGACTGCCACTATTGGGTAGGTTACAGGTGAGACTTCTTTGAATCGCGCTCGCCTTTGTGCGAGCTCTCACTAGGCCTGAGGAACAAAGGGAAAGAGACTAATGTCCAAGCGTCTGTTGAAAACAACCAACATCTGAGGATGTTGCAGGGACAGGGTGACGAGGTGGCGATGTTTCTTTTTAAGTTGTGGGAACCCCCAAACCCGGGATTTGTGGTCCCGAGTTCTAGAGACCATGTTGGAGCGCTGGGTTTGGGACCGTCCACTTGGATCCCGGCTGAATTCATGTGGGCACGACAAAGAAAGCTTTGTTCGCGGTTCCCTCAGCCACCCATGTTGCGACAATAACAAGCTCCATTGATGGTTGCCACATGGTTTTCTTGCTCCTTTTCATCAGTGGCATTTGGATGGTACGAGTACCCCCAGTTTTGAGTAAACCAATTCGTTTGCCATGTTGATCCACACCAAAATGATGTCAGGTGTGAAATCATGATACATCATGTGCATCTCCTGAACCTTCCTGAACTGGATTCCACCTGTGGTTCGCCCGCGGCGGTCGCCCGCGGTAGTCGCGCGCGGCGGTCGCCTCCTATGCGCGAGTACAGCAGCCTCGCGCCAATCCCAGGCTCCAAACTACACGGCGCGCCTTGGTCGAAGGACTTCACTCGAAAGCCACAGGAAAATTTGAAAGCGGGGGACCCGGCTGGGAGAGCAAGTTTGGGATGGTTGAGGCAACCAAGAATGGAAAGCCCAAGAGGCCGCGCCAGTCTTCAAGTTGTGAATTCTGTTCAGTCCCTTTCCTCCTCAAAATGCCAAAAATAACATCATGTACTGTCAGATTGCACAAAATATGTTTGCTTTTGGCCTTTGGCCCTCCCATAACTAGATCTAATTAGACCTTTGACAAAGTCAGCTGCTTGTGGGTTAAAACCCCACAGCGCCAACGAAAACGAGCGGGTGTTGAACATTGCAGCCGGGGCACAACCTTCGCTGTTAGGCTGCCAGACCCGGCAAGGCCTGACCAGCTCGGTTCCGGAGTGGCAGTAGAATCCAACAGGTGAGGAGATGGGCGAAAAGTACCGAGTACCCAACACCCACCTGGCAGGTCTAAGGTTCAAAAAACGAAACACATTGAGAAAGCCTTCTTTGGGTTGCTATGTTGGTTTGGGAAGGTTTGTTCGGTGAAGCACAGGGCCCAATTTGGTGTTTGATATCACCCCGTTGCTTGGGTCAACCAAAGCTGGGGAAGGCAAGTGGCAATGGCGATTGTATGCCACTTTCTTGTCCTTCTTATCATGGCTGGCCGATGCTGATCTGCAACTAACTACCAAAAACAAATCGGCCTCGTGGCCAAAACCAACGGGTTTTGCCCCTTCAAAAGATCCACCCAACACCTTCCTGTGACTTGCGCTGTGCATCCCTTCACCCCGCCGACTTCGCTTCAGCAGAGTTTGCCATGGCATAGATCCCTGAGGATCCGTCGGGAAGGACATGGGGGGCGTCAGACGCGCCTGTTTGAGAGTGAACATATTGGGGATGGACAGTGAAAGTGGTAGAACTCTGGGCTATTTGAACAGGAATGAACAGCCGAAGTTCCAACACCAAGAACTGCCCAAGCAAGCTCTGTTTCTTGTTGATCAATCACATGAGCTGTCAAAGGATAAGACTTTGAAAGGCCTCCCGTCTTCCACCTTTAGATCACATCTACAGAGACACACTGACAGTGGACAGTCCGTCATGTGTCACCCACTCCAGAGACACCAACTCTGGAGATGATACGATATCCTCCACCAGTTCACATCAGGGGCAGAAGGAAAGTTGTTCTATGAACCCGATGGACCCATGGTCGAGCCGATCACCTGCAGAGCACAAAGCAGAGCCAAAGCAGAACATGGACCCGACCCCAAAACGTCAATGCGTCGTCCAAAGAAATTAAGAAGGGAGGCGCGGCTTCGACAAAAACTACGCTGCACCTCCAACACACATGGTGTCATCCTCTAAACTTATAAAATGGTTTCTCGGGCCTTGACCTGCCAACATGTTCTTCCGTGTCATGGTTGTAGACAGCGGAGGCAAGGGAGCCACTCCCAACCTCCCAGCTCTTCCGAATGCAGCCAAGGCACGCTTGACGTGATCCGAGAACGTCTCTGGGTTGCCCAGACGGACGTAGATTGACCTCACCATGCTGTCTCAGGGTTGTTCGGCATGAAATCAGTGTCACACTTGGGGGAACCCCGCGACAGGCCCCCGCCACAGGCCGAATCCTTAAAGGCACTTCTGTAGTGAAGAGGGCGTCGTCTCCATCCAGGGGAGATTTCCCTCGTCCGATCACCAGACAAAAGGAAAAAAGAGAATAGTAATAATGAATATTATGTGTGTATATATATATATGTATGTAGCTCAGCGAGAGTCCACGAGTCCAACAGTCACAGGCATTCGAGGAGTCACCAAACATGGAAGGCTGAACTCAACCAAGTGATCACCCCGCAAGTCTCCATCTTTGCCACAAGAGCGAACACTTCCTCAGCCCAATTCCGCACACACAGAGCTGCAGCCGGGCCCCCCACTTTCCATCATTCTCAGTGTCCAGAACAAAGGTCTCATTGAGAGGCTCTTGGTTGAACAGCTCGATAAGCTTGGTACACTGGCCGCTGACCATCGCAAGTCCCGAAAGAGCGTGGGCTTTCGTTCCTACGCGTCTTTCAAACAGTTGGTCTTTCAACATGGTTTGTTCAACTCAGGTCTGGGTTTCTGGCCATGTCTTCAGAACGGAGGCGTGTTTTTTCCCCAAAACCGATGTGTTTGTTCCAGAACCTCTGCGTGTCAGTCCGTCCCGTTCTTCACCGTCTCTTCAGGTTGAGCCTCCAAATCAGCCACCAAACTTGGGAGGCTCAACCGTTGCTGAAAAATGAGGATCGTCACCACCGCCCCCACGTCGAACCGACAAAAAACGCCACCCATCGATCCATAGACACGGCCTGAAATGCCATCTCTGAGAGCTTCCTTTGGAACTCGTGTTTGATCATTTGCTTCATCCTCAGCAACCAAAAAGTCACCGTTGGGGGGCAGGTTCAAAGAGCTTTCCTGGTGACACGTGCCCAGTTCATCCAGTGTTGGAGTCCCAAAACTACCCGTTGGATCGCATCGGAGGCTTCGGAAGAACCGGCTCAGTTACGGGGGGAGGCAATGGGTTTCCATCGATGCACGGCACATACTCCAAAAAGGATTACATTGTAGATATACTCTTGCCAAAGCAAAAGTTCGTTCCGTTCCATTTTTAAAAAAAGAAGAATGTGAAATGCGTGATTCGGAACGCTTTCGTCTCTCAGCTCTTTGATCTCAGGCTATGGCCGGCAAAGCCTGATGCCGGAGGGGTGGTGCAGCAGCATGCCTCAGGTCGCCGGGCGCCCGACACCGGTCTGAAGTCCCAGAGTCTTCCAACACGTTTTTGGGGTTCCCAGAGGATCGCAGTTGATGGTCAAATGTGGTTCTCTTGGTCTGCGATCCTCCGACCATGCAAGACCCAACTGAAAAAGCCTGCGCAGGGCGGACCACAGCCAAGCGGCGGAACAGGACCATTGTCAGGTCGTCCATCTCTTTTATCTCCTCACCCTGCAAGAAGAGACCGTGAACAAGTGCATGCATAACAAAATTCGGGACATACACCAAACACCTCTGGGCTGACTATGCAAGAAAACTATATATATATATACATAATGTATTACAGTACATAGATGCCATTGGTTTTGAGGTGGGACAAATGAACCCGCTCTGACATGGTGGAACGGTACTGTGACATCTAGCTCGACGTCAAAATCCTTTATCGGCAATCTGAGCTCCCAATATGAACAAATGTCAACCAATCCCATGGTTGTGAGAAATTTGACCTCCACCCTCCTCTTCTTTTCTACACAATATGTACCAGGTACCAAAAACTATTAGGTCAGTCCAACATGGCCACCCAAATGGCATCAATCTCTGGGACCTCTGCAGTGTCAGCTGCTCCTTGGGCGCGAGTGGAGCGACAGTGTCCGAGCAGTGTTGACAAAGCAGTGACGAAAGTCTGCCCAAGTGATCCATCAGCTGCATCCACCCATCCTCCCTGAAGCATCACTCCGACTGAGGTGGCCCGGCCGCCATTTCCGTCCGGTGACAATTGGCAAAGAACGGTCTGGATCGGCCTGGTTTCGCCACCGAAGGACCAAAGGGGGTGGTTGAGACGGGAAC